CGTGGAAAGGACTCGAGGGAGGGCCCTGCACACCGTTCCGGGCCCCCCTTTCCAGGTGTCCACGGGGGGAGGGGAACCTTGCATTGCAGCAGCCCGAGGCTCCGCCTGGTGATGATCATGAGCTTCCGTGTGTGTGTGTGTGTGTGTGTGTGTGTGTGCCCGTGTCCCTTCCTCCTGTTTGCTGACCCGTTGGAGCCTTTGTGTTGAGCAAATCAGAGCAAAGGTGCCCAGAGTCCAACTTTCATTTGAGGGGCCAGGGCCAAGGAGACCCCTGGGGGCAGTGCCGGAGCTCCTTTCGCTACAGCTGTTCCTCAGAGCACCTCTGGGCACAGCTGCCGTATTCTACATTGTGAAGGTAAGGGGATCTTTCAGGAAGCAGCTGGAGGAGTTTTCCTGGACGGTGCCAGCCAAGAGTGCCAGTCGCTGGGCTCAGGACCTCAGTTGGCGAGCCAGTGCTCGGCCATGGAGCTCCGGCCTCCTCTTGGGCGGAGGGTCACAGGGAAGCCGGGTGGTGGGCAAGGCTGGGGAGGCAGCTGCCGGGAGGGCGGAAGAAGGCCGGAGAGCCCTGGTCAAACCGTCCCACCTTCTTCTCGGGGGGGGGGGCCTTCAAACGTCGCAAGGAGCCCAGGGACCCCCCTCCCCCCGGACCAGCCAGGCACTTACGGGAAGGACGGGGGGTCGATGGCGGACTTGATGACTCCCGCGTAGATGGCCAGGATGGAGAGGATGACGCAGCCCAGGAAGATGAGGGCAAACTTGTTCACGTACTTCACGCCCACAAAGACGATGGTGGCCATGAAGGAGAGGACGCACGTCCCGTAGACCCTCATGTTGTTCAGCAGGGCGGCCGCCTCCCCGCTGGCGTCCTCGGCCTTGAAGATGGCCATGGGGGGGAAGATGTAGGCCTGGCGGGAGACAGGGAGCGGCTCTCAGGGCGCCTCCTTCCCTCTGCAGCCCCCACGAGGCTTTCCCGGGCATTTGCAAGGCCACCCCTGATGCCACCCACCTTCCTCTGCTGCCCCCCACGCCCCCCACGACTCCCCTGGGGAAGGCTGGGAGCTTCTGCAGAAGGGATGCGAAGGGCCAGTGGGAGAGAGCGAACTCCCCCTCCCCCCCCGCCCTTCCGGCATTGGCCTTAGTTAAGGAATAGGTGGGGATTGGGCCCCCCTCCCTCCCTCCCCAGGCAGATCATTCTGGAGCCTCCCTGCCCTCCCTAGATGGGGGGTGGGTTGGGGGTCTGCCTGCCCATCGCTTGCATGAGCTGCCCCACCACCTCCTCAGCCCCCGTGGCCCTGCCGGGAGCAGCCTGGCCCCTTGGGAAGGGACGGCTGGCTTAGAATCCTAGACTCCAAGGGCTGGGAGGGACCTTAGAGGTCATCTAGTCCAACCTCCTGCTCCTGGCAGGAGTCCTCCATCAAGTGTTGTCCAGGGAGAAACCTTGGCTGATGGGGGTCCCTCCTGGCCCCTGAAGAGCCCCCTGCGGCCTTCCTGAAGAGGGGGGAGCTGGGGGGAGGGGGCTTGGATATCAAACTTTGGCTCTGTGGCTTTGCTGCTTCACCCAGGCCTGAAGGGAAGGGGGGCTGGGGGGGCAGTTCCAGTAGGAGGGGTTTGGCTCATTTAAAGCCTGGACACTGGAGGAAAAAGCAGGCGAAGGGATCAGCCCTCAAAGCCTGCAGGATCTCTCCCCCCTTGGGAGGGGCGGCTGGGCCTGGGGCCCTTCCTCCAGCGAGGGGCTCCATCTGAAGGGCCCTGAGGTCTCTTCCACGCTTCCTCCCTCCCACCTTATCAGGCTTTGCACGGCTGGTGGCCACCATGAGCCAAAGGGGCCCAGCAAAGGAATGCCAGTCGCCCACCCTGGGGAGCAGCAGTGGGGCTTGGCGGAAGCCCCCCCCCCCTCCTAGAGGCAGCCAAGCCCCCCCCCCATGAGTGGCAGCTGGGTCCGAGTAAACGCGAAGCTTCCTGTTTCCTGGACTTTCACCAGGGAGGGGGGGAAGGAAGGGGGAAGGGAGGGAGGGAGATGGGCGGTTCAACGATGTGAAAAACGGAATTGAAGCCAGATATTTGGCTCCTTTATGTATTCCTGATTTTGCTCCTCTCTCGTCGTCTTATTATTTCGGGTGAGGTGGCTACTCCTGTCCTGGCAGCCTGTAGAGATTAGAGATTGTGCCACCTTGCTGTAGACATGGGGAGGGGAGGCTGAGACGCCCACAAGCCGTGCCCATGCCGAAGCCCTCGGCTCAAGAGCCTCCTCCTCCTCGCCAGCTCCGCCTGCCCTCTGCCAGTTTGGGGGGCCGTAGCTCAGAGACTGTGCCAGCCTGAAAACTGGCTCGCTCAGGTTCGCCCGAGTTAAGCCCTGTCTGCTAAGGCCTCCTGGGGATGCCCCAGGGAGCCTGGCAAGGCCGAGGGTGGCAGGGAGGCAGGAGGGGCGGCCAGCCGCTCGCCTCTCACCTACACGGGGGAGGGGGGGCATCTGGGGAGGCTGAAGCTTTTCTCGGCTCTCAAATTAGAGAGTTATGTAACATGTAAGAACGCCTGGCTGCAATCACCAGCTAGCTGTGCCATCTAGCCCCTCTCCCTGACAAAACGGGTATCCGAAACAGTCTGGGGGAATTATCCCGCATCGCACTGGGATAAACCCCCCAGCGCCTTCCTCCCGTCCCCAGGAGGCTTCTCTGCAGAGCCCGGGGTTAAGGCTGGGGCTTGAACCCAATCCGGAGGGAGGGGACGTGCATAACATCCACCTAGGCTGAGGTCCCCCCATTCCTCCTTTGGGAACCTCGCACGGAGAAGGAGCGGTTCGGAGGGTCCTCTGGCTCCCCACAACAGCTCCAGAGTTGCCGAGAGTTGCCACCCTCTAAGGCATTTCGCTGGCTCGACCGCTCAAGCAGAGGAGCTGTAGGTGGGCTCCGTGTCTGACCAGGCGCTGGCCTTTCCCTGGCTGAGTGCACCCAGCAAGCCCAGCTCTGGGTTCCTTGAGGCGGCCTGAGAACTGCCTGCTTGAGGATGGCGTTAGCTGTGCTGCCTGAACAGCTGCAGTCTCTGGGATGGGGGCACCCTTGGCTTCCCATTTCGTTGGCACCCATGGGTGCAAATGTTTGCATGCCAGTTTCCTGCCCCTCTTCTCTTTTGGCAGCTGCAGGGGCCTCTGCCCCCCCCACCCCCCACCTTCCCTTCTTGTCTCAAGAAGCCAGTGCCTGCCCCGGCCCACCCCCATCCCCTCACTCACCAGCACAATCTCTATGGTGCCCAGGATGTACATGGCACCCGCAAAGGTGGTGCCCAGGTAAAAGCAGAGTCCCACGGCCCCTCCAAACTCCGGGCCCAACGAACGCGAGATCATGTAGTAGGACCCGCCGGCTGGAAGGAGGGAGGGAGGGAGGGGCAAAGATCAGCAGGAGTGACCCCCCCCACATGGCCCAGAGAGGAGGGAGGGGCCGCCCTGGCCTCTCAAGGCACCCATCACTCTTCTTCTGGGGAGGGGCACCGAAGGCTCTTGTGGGGACAAATGGGGGGGGCTCCCCCTTTTTTTTTCTCCAACTAGCCTCCTGGGGAAGAGGATGTTTGCCAGATGCCAGAAATGCCCCTGGGGTGGGAGGTGAACCATCCCTCTTACAACCTCTCCCCCTGGGAGGCCTTGGAAGCAGCCTGACACACTCACACCCCGGGCCACTAGCACACCCTGCCTGGCTGCCTCACCAGCCCCCGGTGGTAAGGAAGCCAGAGGAGAGGGAGGGAGGCAAGGACACCCCGGAGACGGAAGTCCCTCCCTCTCCCCTGGGGCCCTCCTCTCCGTCAGGAGCCCAGGTGGGGCCCTCAGGCACCCCAGAGGGCCCCTGATTTTGTGCATCCCATTAATGCTGCCAAAGAGGGAGGGGATGCCATGCAGAGGGAGCGACCTCCACCCAAAAGGACGGGGTGCTTCTGTGCCGCCCCCAATCTTTGCTTGTGCTTGGCTCCTGGCAGCCCCCCCCCAAGTCCCTCCCTCCTCCGCCCCTCCCTGCTACCCACCTGGCACCACTCCATTGGTGGCGATGGCACTCATGGAGATGGCCGTCAGCATGGTCTGTGGGGAGAGAGGGCAGCTGTGGGGATCCGGCCCAGCAGGGAGAGGGAGGCTGATTCCCGAGCAGCCCCTGGGACTCTGTGTGTGGTGTGTGTGTGTGTGTGTGTGTGTGTGTGTGTGTGTGTGTCTTTGAGCTAATTCTCCAGCCAAAGGAGTGGGGGAGGGGCTTTCAACCACAGGGCTCCTGGTGGGGTTTCATGCTGGGGACCCAGAAGCCCCCGGGCAGCCATTGGCAGGAGCCCAGGCTCCTGGAAGCCCCACCTTTGCAGGCCGGGATCCCTACAGCCAGCTTGCCCCAAGGTAGTGCCCATCCCCAAGGCCCCCAAATCGGTTGGCCATCCACCCCAGGAGCAGAGGGCAGGCGGAGGGCTGCAGGGTGTGTGTGTGTGTGTGTGTGTGGCACATGGATGCCACTGGGATTTGCACTGGGGTCCCTGGGTCAGCAGGAGGGCCGGGCTGGCTGCTTCTGGCTGCCCCAGAGGGAGGGAGCTGTCTCAGGGGGGGGGCAGGGGGGGGCTGCCACAGGACAGAGGGGACAGAGGGTGGAAGCCTGGGTAAATCGGCCATTGGTTTCCTTGCGCCTTCGTCCACCCAGGCAGGTGCCCCCACGCTGGCTGCCCTTCTGGGTTTAACTTGGGTGCCCCCATTCCCCCCCCCAAGGCTGAGATCCCTATGGGCCAGTGGGGGCCAGTGGGGGTGGGGGAGCCTCTCTCCGGGCTGGGCTACAGAGGACTCGTCCCAGGGCTGCGTCATGAGGAGCCCGTCTGGCCAGACCCTCTCTTGCCTGGCCAGGCACCCGCGGCCGGAGGGGGACTCACGCAGGAGCAGCAGAGGATGACCATGCTTAAGGACTCCAGGATGCCCGAGATGCCCACCACCCAGGTGAGGCGGAGGAAGAGGATGACGCCAAAGATGTTCTGCAGGCAGGGCAGGTAGACGCCCATGAAGGTGCCCATCCGGGTGGCCTGCCAGAAGAGCCGGGGGCATGAGACTGCGCCCAAACAGGGTGGGTGGGCTCCCTCCCTTCCCTCAGCAGATGCCTTCCTGGCTCAGCCCTGCAGCTTCACCGAGCAACTGGAGAGGACCCACGAGCTGTGCCTCCTCTTACCCGCTGAGAAAGAATCGGACTGGGCTGCAAAACCCCACACTGCCACTGGAGGGCGGTATGGAGAACAGGAGGGAAGGCCGCACTAGGCTGCCCTCTGCTGGTTATCCGGGCCCTTCAGCCCAGATCTGGGGCCTGAAGGAAGAAGAGGGTGAGTGGGCAGCCTGGGCTCTTCTGCTCTTAACTAGCTGCACTCTGGGACCCACTGTGGGGTGAGCATTTGGGGGCACAAACCCTCACCCCCCCCACCGCACCTTGACAGGCTTCTTCTTGGCCCCCTCGTTGTTCTCTGCCTCTTCGTGCTCCCGGCTGCCCTGGGGCAGGTTGGTGTAGTTGGCCAGGCCGCTGAGCAGGGAGGAGACCATGGGGCTGGTGTCCATCTCCTCCTGTTGGGGAAGCAGAGGGAGGGGAGGGCTGGTGGCCACTCTTTGGGGGTGGGGGTCCTTGCCCCTCGCGCCCTGCCAGCCTCGTCCTTTGAGTTCCTGGGGCCAAAGCGTCCCCTGCCCAGCCTGGCACCCCTCGTGGAGCCGGGGCTGGGCTGCTCTGGCACCCCAGGGGCCTTTGCGGGTGAGGCCCCTTCGACCGCCCCCCCACCCCCCTGCAGCCCCTGCTGACCTCAAAGAGCGCCATGTTCTTCCCATCGTATTCCTTCCCCTTCTCCAGGTCGGTGCTGTTGATGAATGGGCTGCTTTCCTTGGGGTTCCCATCACCTGTAGGGAGAGAGAGAAGGCCTGAGACCGCCGGGATGCCACCAACGTCTTTCGCCAGCCTCGCAGGCCCAAGCCCAGCCAGCAGCCCTGCAGGGCCCTTCTCTGGAAGTCACCCGGAGGGTCAGGCCCGAGTGGCAGGTGGGCCTCTTTGCCTGGACACACCTGTGCCAGGACACCTCCCCTGTCCCGATCTTGACCCAGGGAACCTGCATGGCTGCCTGACCCAGAAGGCTTTGAGCAAGGAGAAGACCAAGAAGCAGGGCACCTCTCAGAGAAGGCATCCGGAAACTAGAGCTCCCGCAGAAGAGTTGGGCATTTGGGATGGCGCCCATCCCAACACATGGCCAGACCAGCTCGACTGCCCATCTACCCTTGGCCCATCTACCCTCGTGCCCGGGATCAGCTGCTCTTCTCTGCCTGCTAAGGAGGGTTTCTGAGGGACCTAGATAAGGACCACCCGAGAGAGCCCTGGACTACTTCAACACCACCTACCCCACAGGAGCCAGGCCCCCAGATGTGTGGCTCACATCTGGACTAGCTCCAAGACTTCGTTCATGCCTCCTAGTCCCCCAGGTTCCGGAGCCATGGAGCCCCTCTGATGAGCAGGAGGACCTGGCTTTCTGCAAAGGAGGAGGGTCTGCCGTGTGGGGAGAAGGTGCCCCACCAGGGGTGTCCAACCTTGCTGTGGCCGGCTGGGGAACTCTGGAGTTGAAGTACACAAGTCTTAAAGTTGCCAAGGTTGGACGTGTTCCTCTACGCAATCCTCAGAGGAGGCAAAGAAGCCAAACTCCCCCCCCCCATCAAGAAGGCTTCCCACCACACCTGAATATCTAAACCTGGGTTAACCTCAGGACTGTGGCCATGTTGGCATGCCAGCAACACTATTGTGTTGAGGGATGTGTTAGCCACACAGACAGACACAGGCCCTGG